ATAAGGTTTGTTGGGTCCCTGTAACAAAAGCTCTTAGATAAGGTTTGAGATACATAGTTTCTCCAGATAAGGTTTGAGATACATAGTTTCTCCAGGTCTAAGTAAGGTTTCAGATACATAGTTTCTCCAGGATGGATGCATACGAGGATGGGAGGAAGCTGCTGGGTATACACTCTATGGGACTATACCACAGTTGAGGGTAAGCTGTAGGACACCAAAATGGGGGGATAGGTTGGTCTAGAGGGGGGTACCGAGATCTCGAAAAAAGAACAGGATGTTTGGTGGAGTTTGATCTGGGACGATGTGAGACCGAGTGACTGGAGGGGCAACCCTGGGACCGGAGCTGCCGTCTTCGCGACACACATAATGTGTGTCTGGGTACGTAGGTGTTTTTCCCGGCCATTATGCCTGCCTCGGGATTGGGATGGCTGATTGGTGCACTGGGAAGACACCCCCAGCCCCCTCTGCGGAGCAGTCTAGTGCGGCCGATGCATTAGGCTGGACCTTTGTTCTGTCAGACATTTCAAACCTGTTTTTGCTTGCTGGTAATAAGTAACTGGACTGCATTCCCCCAGAAAGGGCAAAGCAAGTTTGCATCCCTCCCTTGAACAAAAAAAAGGGGCTGTGTTCCCAAGCTGTTGGGTAGTTCCAAAAAAATGGTCATTGTCTCCAGAGGGACCGGTGGGACTGTTCGGGCTGTGCCGCTCCGAACAATGAACCACCCGGTTGAAGAGTGCCAACGGACAACGGGTAGAGTGCCACTGCCCTTTGCCCGTTGTGTGAAGCAGGCACAGGCCATAGGGTCCGTCAAAAATGTGGCCCCTCGTATATTGACGCATCTGTCAGGAGAGTTGTTGGGCAGTGTTGCTTCACACACATTTTTCATGGTTGCGATGCAGACTGGCACAGCCGACTGCCTAACAACTGTCAGGAGAGTTGTTGGGCAGTGGTGCTTTACCCATAGGTGTTTTTTATGGGCAGTGGTGCTTTACACACATTGTTCAAGGCTCACCCCCCAGAAAATTGTTTTGGGATTTTTAAACTATTTTCTGGCCCTTTCAGAAAGCAAAAGAGGGCCACGCTGTGACTGATTCTGTGTGTGTGTGTGTGAGAGAGAGAGAGAGAGAGAGAGAGAGAGAGAGAGAGAGAGAGAGAGAGAGGAGGTACACAGGCTGGATACTGCCTTGAGGTTGGTGTGGCCTTATTCACCCCCTGTCTGTAAACCTTCTGTCACCTGTTTTCTTTTTTCTTTTTTTCGGGGTTTTTCCGGACGTCCGAGTCCGTCGTAACCATGACATTTTCACTTCTCTCATACAGAGGATACATTTTGCCGTATTCCTGATTTTCGCGGAGCCAACCATCAGCTGGACCTCTTTTTTTTTTTTTTTTTTTTTTTTTTTTTTTTTTTTTTTTTTTGAACAAAGCAGATATCATGTAACCGGGAAATGGTCCTGGCGTCCCCTACATCATTTGCTGCACCCAAATGGGCTAAGCAAGGCACTCTTGGCCAAACCTATCCCTACCACAGCCCCACAAGGTCATGACAACCAAACCCAATCCCAATCCCAACCCTAAAACAAAAATTGTGTTCCCTAATTTAAGAAACCGAAATCCTATTCCACCCCTTCTCCAAACCGCCATTATTATGCAACCCTAATCTAGC